ATTGAACAGAGGAGCTGTTCAATGCTTCATTAGACACTTATGAAGCACTGAACAGAGGAGATGTTAAGTGCTTCATAAGTGTCTAATGAATCAATAAACAATGCTTCATTAGACACTTATGAAGCACTTAACATCTCTGTTCAAAAAGCGTTCAATACAAAAAATATCCTCAATCAATCTCAAATCAAATCAATCTCCTCTGTTCAGTGCTTCATAAGTGTCTAATGAAGCACTGAACAGCTCCTCTGTTCGATGCTCCATTAGACACTTATGAAGCACTGAACAGCTCCTCTGTTTGAGGCTTCATTAGACACTTATGAAGCATTGAACAGAGGAGCTGTTCTTTAGACGTTAACGAGGGGCAGATAGTATGAAAATGCTTCACAGCTGGGTAAGAACCGAGTGTGAGCAGCTGTTACCTGCAGGTTTTCTGGAGGCATCGGTGAGGGGGACTTGGACTGGAAGGCGTCCTGCGAGATGAAGCCAGAGTCGTGGGAGGAGACCGACGAGAGGCGGGCCGGGGTCTGCTGGGGCAGCACGGAGGAGGAAGAGGAGGACGAGGTGCGGAAACGGAAATGGGAGGTGGGGGAGTGGGAGTGTGAGCCGCTGGAGCGAGAGTCACTGCTGTTCACGCTGTTCAGGCTGCTGTGGGACGAGGAGAGGAACAAATCTTCAAATGTTACACACACACTTAAATAAAGGGAATATTAAAAGTTGGACAGTTTCGGTTCCTAGTAGCCTCCAGTGATTCACTCAGTGTTCACTCTGCTTTCATTATTATTGTATTCAGATGTTTTTTTTTTTAATCTAGTTTGAAGTGCAGCCTGAAAATGAACCAAACGAGGGGGGGGGGGGGTCTGATTTACTCAGGAATTGTAGTTGAAAATGTTCCACAGCACCCACCATGTTGGTACAAGTTTGTAACCCAAGCGGACTCTGAGCCCAGCCAGACCACAATCAGCTTTACTGCTTTTGGATTTCAATCGGAACCAAAACCTGAGCCCGGTTCTGGACCCGCTGCCTTCCTCATACTCCTGCCAACTGAAACATGATGATGATGATGATGATGACAGAAACAGGCTTCTCCTGCTCTCCGAAGCCTACAACAATACCTGGAGAGCCAGGTCTTTCCCAACGAACCAAAACTTTCTAGGAAAAAGAAAAGTTTCCTCTGCGAACCACAAGGAGGCAACAGAAACACTGACGTGAATCAATGGACTCATAACAAACCTGCACATGCTGGACTTCCTGGACACCGTGGTGCTTGGAGACGAAGGTGGAGTTTGGTAGGTCCAGGTGCACTCTGAGCCCTTCAGGTCTACAATGACCTGCCGAAGAAAACGAAGAGAAAGCAACGTGAGAAAAACGTGCACGAGACCAGACTTCTGCAGGCAAGTATCCGTTTAAAGGTTTAAAGCAACTGTGAGCAGGAAAGTGATGGTCTGTGGTGAAGCTGAGCCTCAGAGTTCTTCTGCCTCAGACCTGTTGTTTTGTCCCCACTCACTGGGACCAGTGCAGACCAGCATGCAACCATGGGGGGGGGGGGGGGGGGGATCCAGAAAATTAGAGCTTTTTAAGTTTAACTGAAGAAATGTATACATTTAACAGATTTATTAAGAGTTCTGCTCAAACTGGCAACAGTAACTAATAAAAATTTGAATTATGACTTCTTTTTTTTTTACTAAGCTGAGGAGGAAATTTACAAGATGATACTTTTTCTTGTTAAACACATTTCTTACATAGAAATCCCACAAATTTGACATTTTCCACTCATGACACGTGGTTACATTTCCAAGTATTTAGTTTTTTTGTTTTTTTTTTACTAAAATTTGCAAATTTTAACAAATTTTTAAAATCCTAAAGGAAATTAAATTCTTGTTATTTCAACTAAATTATGTTGCACTAAATGTTTGGGTTGGTAACTTCCTACTCTCAGATTGTTTCTTATTTTCTAGCTTCTATTAAACTGTAAACTATAATCTATATTACAGATCTGATTGTTCCATATTTCCTAACGGAGCACTTTGCCCACAGACTGCAGGTTTACTTGTGGTTCCTAGAGTTTCCAAAAGCAGAATGGGAGGAAGATCTTTCAGTTCTCAGGCTCCTCTCTTGTGGAACCAACTTCCAGTTTCTGTCCGTGAGGCTGACACATTGTCCAGTTTTAAGACTGGACGTTTTGATAAATCCTATCCACCTTATTCCGGATTTGGCGCCACTACCCATAATTCATAGCGGAAGCCGGTTGTTTACTTCCGCCCGCGATCCCGCGCTGTTGTTTACGTTTGTGGGTTAACACACTTGCTAGCAATTTAATGTTTTTGACACAAAAGTTTCCTTTACCTGAAGTAAATGGCAGCACATCAGAGGTGGATACATTGCAAGGATGTTTTAAAAAGCTGCGAAGATAAGTCGTTAACTGTGTCTCACCCATCATTTCTCACGGACTGGGTAGATGATATGAAATCATGGCCCGGAATTACCTACATCGATATTATTAATTACCTTGTTTTTTCTGAAGGCGTCGATGGCGAGGAATTGCGGAATTATAAAAGCACAGAGGCGTATAATTACCTCCACAGCAACAAAATAGATACAGTTTTGCTCAAGAAACAAGGCGACTTTATCTTTCTGAAAGCAGCTGTTGAGCCGAGCCAGAGCGTTGGTCAAGCTAAACACTTAGCATGGGTCATGCTCAGAGAAAGTGGAGTGGTAGAAACGGTCGGCTGTTCCTGTATCGCCGGATTGGGAAAATCATGCAGTCATGCGGCAGCTATTCTGTGGAAGGTATATCACTTATCTGGATATCAGAATATTTACATCACTGAATCAGAATCACTGAACTGGGCGAAAGCTGTGAGCTTCCTGTCTGCCTGTGTTTACATGTGGAAGCCAGAGCATTGTGCAGCCTGTGATCTACTGTCACAAAAAATTAAACATTAAAAAGGCTGTACAGTATTTTTATATTATTTGTTTTTAAAAAAGTACAGACTGGATGCAAGGCAACCTAACATTTACAGAAAAGGAAAAAATAAATGACAACAGCAGGGATGTAAATAACTTGTTTCATTTTATTAGGAGCAGTGATAGCTGAAGTCTGTTAAATTGTTACAGGTCCAGAATGCTGTGATCAGTGGAAAGACGGGGCTAGCATGTACAGATGAGCAGCGCAGGTGGAATGCTGGGACAGCAAAGAATCTTCAACCCAAACGTCTAAGCATGATAAACTTCAGACACCACAAGGCAGAGCAGCAGTATAACATCAACTCAAGGGCTGCAGACACGATTAGTCTTTATTTTCATAAGTGTTATAAGGACTTGATCTTGTACAGGCATTGTAAATTCATTGTTGTCATCTCCTTCCAGTGCTGACACAAGAGTGTTAAATGTTTCTAACGCTATACCAGTGTACAGCAAAGCGTCTGCGTCATTTTGTAGAAGAAAAAATGCAACTTCATCACACTGAGTCGTCTTGTCCTGGACATCTTTTCTGCCAGACGTGTTGCAGTATTGATGATGATCTTTTAGCGAAGGGTCCTCCCACTGTGTGTGGACTGAGTGCAGATGTGGCCCAGGAGGTTGTGTGGAGACGCTAGCCAGGTCTGGGATGACTGACGGTGAATCTACGGTGCACTCTGAATAACACAAAAATACAAAATCAAATCAGCGTAACACAACCTGTCAAGTGTCACTTACCTTATTACGTTTTAGGAAGGAAATTTGTAATTCCACACTCGTACACACATGATACATCTTAAATGTCAATAGTGCTGTTTTAGTGGGGCTTTAGCCCCCTTAAATTTTCCTAAGCCCCATCAAATTATGCTATAATATCAAAATATTGTGATTAGATTTTAGTTTTTCATCCTTAAAAAAATCAGTTGGAGCTAGGTTGCATTTAAGCTTTTTCTTTAAAGAGTTTAAAAGAAGGTTTTTTTCAGCTGTGTCTGTTTCAAATAACCTGCCTCTAATAACTCAACATATTCTTTATTAACAAAATCCCCAGACTTTTACAGCCCTGGGGGCTGAATTTTACCAGGTTGCTAAATAAAAAGCTATTCTCGGACAGTTACATGAAATCATATACATCTCTGCTAGCATGCTACTGATGTTAATTACTAACCACTTTGTCTTTAAGATTTGGATTTGGCTGCCAATCAAGTACTTTCTCTTAGTGATAAAGTATTTTGGAATTAAATTAATAATACACTAACATCCACAATAACACTGCAACCAGCTAGCGCTGATGCTAACACCATCCACAGTATAGTAATTATAACATTACAATTATAACATTAATAATAATATAATTCAGTAAAAGATAAGAGCTAAGCATGATTAAAATGTGAAGCGGGGACAAATCACATTTTCAATTTCACTCACCGGGAACAGATTCGGCCGTTTTGTCGATGTTGCTGGAAGCTGTCTGGCTCACAGTGGTCCGGATGAGCTGCCTTCTTTTCTTTGGTGGGGCCCGGTCATAGCCCAGATAGAGCTCCGGGTCGGGGTGAAGCTCTGTGGGCTTTTTATCAATAAAATGAAAGGAGCAAACATAAACTCTCTTCGGGGGGTATTTGAGTTTTAAAGCTGCCAGCCACGCTCGTTTTCGATCCTCCTTCCTCGGCATGGAGTGCAGTTCGTAACGCGCTGGGCACACACAGGCCTTTCGAAGTTGTTGACGTGCAAAACAATACGTTTCTAGCTCGTCTTTCAGTTTTCTGGAGCTGTTGTGACAGCCAACAACAGCACAAGTTGAACCCGAACTCATATTAGAATTGTTTAAGCCTCCTGCTACAGCACAAATTACTAGAATTTGTCATTAGCAAAAGTGCCTCTCGCTTTAGCTCACCGGAAGTATAAAACCGGGAGGGGGCGGTACCTGTCTGTCATGGCAGCCCACATACGCTCTTGCAGAATAAGGTGGATAGTTAGGGTTGGTTTGGGTTTCCTGAGCTACCCTTTAGTTATGCTGCAATAGGCTTAGACTGCTGGAGGACAAATTGATCACATTTCCTCACTCTGCTGCTGTTTTTAATTGCTCTACATGTTTGTAATTATTTTTATCTTATGTTTGTTTTTTTGTCGTTCCTCCTATAGAAACATCTGGACCTGTCCTTCTATGTTCGTTCCTTCTTGTTCCTTTCAAACCCAGCCGGTCGAAGCGGATGACCATTCATCCCAAGCCTGGTTCTGCTGCAGGTTTCTTCTTGTTAAAAGCGAGTTTTTCCTTTCCACTGTCTCCCTTGAGCTTGCTCAGGATGACAGACTGTGACTATGTGAAGATTCATCGAGTCTGCTGCTTCCTTAGATACACAACTTTTACTAATGGTCTTTTATATATATATGAATGTTTCTGTGCAGTGCTCTGAGGCGACTTCTGTTCTGTTTTGCAAAGCAAGTTGTTTTAAAAGACAAATAAAACTCTTTGTTCTAATAAAACGAATCAATTTATTATAAACTAAAACAAAAAATCCGCTGCAGGTAGAACAGTGTTGGAGAAAGATGACCATCTGTCTGTTGGCTAACGGCTCTGAAACCAGGCCCGGCTGCAGAAATTCACGTTTCTCAGTCAATGAAAAACGTTCGAGAGCCAAAGCGCGGCGCTCCGGTTGGGTCCATGTTTAAAGCAGCAGTCCAGGATTCAAATATCAAGTTCACGGTTGGAAAATGTATAAAATTCTACCTCCAGTACAAGTAGTTGGCTATTTTCAATTGTACCTCGACTATAATCGGGGACAAAACTTTCTTCGGAAAAGTTACATTAAGAAATTTAAGTAAAAAAAAAAAGATGCATCGCCTTCTGCCTTTAATGACAGTTTTATTTCAAGATGGCCGCCACAGCAACATCTTGTTAGATGTGTTACTGCTCAGAATGTGTCGAGGAGGACTCAGCTACGATCACATTACCGTACTTTACGCCATATAAGTTGCACCCTTTATGTGTCACCACTGATGCAATGTGTGCCGGTGTTGTGCCAATAATCAATTGGCTGCCAAATGGCAGACGCGGGAGGCTGCACAGGAGGAATTTAACAAGATTTTAACAAGATTAACACTTAAAAACAATTATTTGTTTGCTTGAAATTATAGTAAAGTTGCGTCTCACTTTTCCTTAATAAATGCACTTTAATGGTCAAATCAGCTGCATTTCGCCCGGGCGACGCGGCGAAATGAAGCTCCAGGAGTTCCTGTGCAAGAGAAGGTGGCCTGTATGGCAAGCCAAGTGTCTCATTAATAGCCACCTTTATCTATTAATGAGACACTTGGCTTGCCATATAGGTTGAGCACCCTCTAGTGGTTGAAAATGGTAGTGTTCAATATTTTCCATGTCAGAATGAAAGAAATTGTCAGATCTCAACCAAAAATTAGAGGAAAAAACATAAATTAGTTGCTTCGGACTATTAAGTCACAAGACTTGCTAATTTATGCAAAAAGATGTGACTTATAGTCCGTAAAGTACAATAACTTCATTATCTGTCATTCTGAGTAAGCTTTAGCCATTTTTGTGTTAGTAAAGGTAAGCTAGCTGTGGCAGCCATCTTGACTTGGGCTGACTCCTAAAGTCAGTCAGTTGTAAACATAAATTTAGTGATTACTCCGTGAAGTCGTTAGGTTCATGATATTTTACTAACAGACGGTGTTGCCTTTAACAATTGTCTTTTTAGGCAAAGATGACACATTCAGTAAGATGACCTTCAGCTACTTCCACGCTGAATTTTAGCTCAGTACTGTAAAACTGACCGACTTTAGCTATTTTTGTCTTTGCTAAAGTTGATTAGCAGTGGCGGCCATCTTGAATTGGGATGCCTCCAAAAGCTATTCCACTGTAGATGTTTTGTGAGTTTCATTAAGATCGGTCTAGTGAAATATTTTGCTAACAGACAGAGATGACACCAACGGTTAAAGCAAAAGTTTAGTGTACAGGTCTTGCACAGTGTGTAGTGCTCAGAATGGGTGTAAGGGATCATTGTCAGCTACTATCACTAGATACCATAAAAATTGTATGGGTTGTAGCCATTTATTTGTATTGTCCATTAACTGTGGTGGCCATCTTTAAAGGAGTTGACTCCAAAAGTTAATCTGTTCAACCAATAATTCCTTTCTGAGCGAGTTGTTGAAATTCATCTACCAGATCATAATGTGCACAGCAGAGCTGCCATTTCGCCTTTAGCTGCGCGATGTCTGATAAACGTTACGTTTACCTGCTCACTGGAAGCAGGCAGCTTGTGAGGGTCCATGGTGAGGGTCTTCAGATCATCTGTGAGCGTCTGGAGGTGGGTGATCTCCCCCAGCATGGACATCTCTTCATCCTGACACCAACAAACACAGCACCATTTCAGTTGAACTTCAGGCGGTCGAGACATTTTGAAACAAGAATGTGTGAAACGTGCAATCCGAACTTTAAACCCAACAGCCAATAAACGACTAGATCTAGAACAAAACGGAGCAGCAACGACGCTCGTTCTTCGCCTGGTTTGGAAGCCTGAGCGTTTGACTGACCACGACGGGCCGCAGCATGGAGACAAAGCAGCAGAAACGACTCCGTTCCTCCACCAGCGCCCTCCGTACAGCCTGCTTCTCGGTCTCCTCCAGCAGCAGGTACTTGTCACTGACGTCCTGCATGGCGCTGTCCAGCTGAGGCTGGAGGTCTCCACGGCCTGAGCACACGAGCAGAAAAACAGAATCCTCAGAACCAGGCTGCAAAAGACAGTCGGCTACTACCGCGTGACATTTTACCTAAATATCTGCAAAACTGACTGCGTTGCATCATGGTTCTGATTGCTAATGTTTAGCTGTGGTGGCCATTTTGAATTGGATTAATGTTGAATATTTAACCAAAGGTGGCATTTGGAGTAAGACTCTCACCTACAACCACACAGTTTTAGCACAGGATCTCAATTAACTGTCTAAATCTAAATTACCTGAGTTGCAACCATTTTTGTGTTTTCTAGGGAAATCTTAAAAAGTCCAAGTCAGGTCATCTGGACGGATTCTTCTTGTTGAAACTTATAAATAAATACTTATAAATATATACTTATACTTATGTCTTATAAATACGACATTCTCATCGTGGATCAACCAGTTTGCTGATGACACCCAGAACTAGCTGTTCACATGATAAAGGACCATCAGTCTAACGACCGATCGTTAGTGCCCTGATGGCCGCTTCTATTCACAGAAGGCTGAGTGATACAGTATGTAAGTGAAAAACCGCAAAGTGGGAATAGTAGTAAAAGTAGCAAGTAGTAGTTTATTTTAATATATATATATTTTTTAAACCCTTCCCACACTTGCAATATTCTATGTTTCTAAACTCAACGCTCTAAAAGAGCACAGCAGGTCATGATTACAGCTCTCTGCCTCCTGCTGCTCTCTGCCTCCTGCTGCTCTCTGCCAACGCTCTCGGCCACGCCCACTTCTCCGCTGCAGAGTGGAGATACGACGAGCTGCATGAAGAAGCTTCTCCTGCAGCTTGGAGTGCACACGGGTGCTAGATAATTTAAAATAATTTATTTAAAATAAAAACTCCATGCCGATCGTGCGGCTCATCCATCAATCGGCCAATTGTGTCAAATCTTATTTTGAAAAACCGCAATAGAGCGAGTCCGCAAAAAAACGAACCGCGAAGTAGCGAGGGACTAGCAATAACAGCATTGTAAGAAGGTGACAGTTGGACACGGAGACCTCCGCCCCGCTTAATGATGGATAATTGCTATTAACACTCAGCCCTCTGTGAATATCAAGCGGCCCTCAGGGCACTAACGATCATTCGTTAGATGATCCTTTATCGTGTGAACAGCTAGTTTTGGCCGTCACGAGCAAACTTGATCCACTAGGAGAAGGGTCTATTTATAAAACTGAGTTTGTTGCAGCTCCTCAGACTTTTGGATAAAAGACGAAACGTTTCAGTAAGAAGAATCCGTCCAGAGGACCTGACTTTACTTTTTTAGGTTTTCCTACCTGGATTACTGAGCAGCACATTTTCATATTCTCTAGGGAAATTTTACTGTGGTGGCCATTTTGAATCAGTTGTAAACGTACATCGACGATCATTTCCAGAAAGTTTAATTAAAACCTATCCAGTGATTTATGAGATATTTTGCTAACAGACAGCATTGCCTCCAAATAGATGATAAAATATTTTAGCAAAGATCCCATGCAATCAGTTAGCACTCTAGGTATGTTTTGGGGATCAGTCTCGGCTACTACCAGAGCAGATGTCATCTCAGTATCTCGTGTTTAGGAAACAAGTTTAGTGAGAGTGAGAATGAAAGAGGAGCCGGACGACTTCAGGAGAACCACAACCAGATTATGGAGCGGCTGTGAGATCCAGTTTGACCAAACAGAACTTCGGTTCCACAGAGAGCGCTCCGGTCTCTGAGCACAAACACCCGGTCGCCTCGCATCAAAGATCTGAGCCTCCCACAAACCATCAAACCACATTAAAGAACCAAACTGGTCCAGAAGCGACAGCTGGTCTCTGGGAAACGAGCAAATTAAAACATGATCGAGTTACTAATAAACGTTTTTGATTTATAAAAAAAAGCAATATGTAAGTTGATGCTGCTATGTCTGGATTCATTCTGAATTATTTAAACATTTATTGTGACAGTCTGAACAAAGATGTACCCATTTGATTTATAAGAAAGTAGTTTGAACATCTGTTTGTTGCTCACTGTGAAGTTGTTCGCCCACATCTGTACTGCATCTGTAACTTCTGGAGTCAGCCCCAATCAAAATGGCTGCCACAGCAAAGCATCTTTATAAAAAATGGCATTTGATCTATCAACTTGACAGATATTCTGCTAAAATTTGGTACGGCTGAGAATAATCCCCAACTTTTACTTAGTTCTAATTTATCTAATGAGTTTATATATATACATACTTTAACAATAACTTTAATGTCCTTTAACAGAACATCTGACTGAGACAGCAACTAACCTGGGCGTGAGGCTGGACAGTGACTTCAAACTTGACACGCAGATTAAATCAGTGATCAAGTCCAGCTTCTTTCATTTGAGACAACTGGCCAAGGTCAAACCATTTCTGTCACAACATCATTTTCAGATCTTAATCCATGCTTTCATCACAACTCGCCTGGATTACTGTAATTCTCTTTATGTCGGTCTGAGCCAGTCATTACTGACTCGACTTCAGCTGGTTCAGAACGCAGCTGCCCGCCTTTTAACTGGTACCAAAAAACGAGAACACATCACCCCTGTTTTAGAATCACTACATTGGCTCCCGGTTCGCTTCAGGATTAATTTTAAGGTTCTTTTATTTGTTTTCAAATGTCTTCATGGTCTCGCCCCACAGTATCTGTCCGACCTGCTCCAGCTGTACACTCCTTCTCGCTCTCTCAGGTCAGCAGATCAGCTGCTGCTGGTCGTCCCAAGGTCCAACAGGAGACTGAGAGGTGACCGAGCGTTCTCAGTCGCTGCCCCTAAACTGTGGAACGAGCTGCCTCTGCACGTCAGACAAGCTGGCTCACTTCCTGTTTTTAAGTCTTCTCTGAAGACACATCTTTTCTCTTTGGCTTTTACTTCAGTTTGAAATGTTGGTTTTAATGACTCTAAGTTATTTGTTTTATTTTATTTGTTATCTTTATTTTATTTCACATTTTTAACGTGTGGGGTTTTTATGTTTTTGTATGTCCTAGTGTACAGCACTTTGGCCAACAGTGTTGTTTTAAAGTGCTCTATAAATAAAGTTGTATTGTATTGTATTGTATAACTAATAGTCAACTTTGCCTGCCTGTTAGCAAAATATCTCATCAACCATTTGAAGATTTTACTGACACTTTCAGAAAGTAACCACTGGATGTGCAACTACAGCTGATTAACTTTTGGAGTCTGTTTGATTCAAAATGGCCACCGCAGCTAATTATCCTTAGCCAACACAAAAATGGTTATATCTCAGGGAAATTTAATAAAATAGGGATGACCTTCGGTGTGGGAGTGGCAGATAGGCATTCCCAACACATGCTCTACGGGCTAACAGATCATGTAAGACTTTGGAATATTTAATCTTTGACATTAAAGGCAATGTGCAACATGCATTTGTTTAAGGAATGCTCCGTCTTCTAGCTTCATGTATAGCTTTAGCGAACCTCTAAACCTGACCTGTACCATTCAGGTAACCTTTTTTAAAAAGACGGATTTTCCACAGAGATTTTTTATTATTTTTTATTTGCATGTCAGGTTTGTTCGTCAAAAGAGTGGAAATGTTAAAAAATGTTTTGTATTTTTTTTAAAAACATTTTCACCTCTCTTCAGGAGAAGTTCACGTGCAGCTGCCTTCAAGTTTCTGGCGTTAACGTGTTTCAGACACAATGATTCGTGCAGTGCACGTTTCTAAGATTTATTCAAAAACTGTTTATGCAAACTTGAGCACAATGTCTCAGCATTTTCTGGTGACTACGTGTCACTGTTTGTTTGTTTTGTATTAATAAACAGCATAGGGTTATTTCAGTTGCAAGGTTACGCAAACGTTTATTTATGTATTTATATAAAATAAAATTACTATTTACTGGGCCCCCCACACATATTCCTCATCTCCCCCAGCTAAATTAATCTGGAGCAGGGTCTGCCTTAAACTTTGTCAACAAAGAGAATTAAAAAGGTCCCAATATACTCAAACAAGCTGACCTGTCCCTACAATAATCACAGTCCCCATATCAGACCCGCAATCATGAAAATGATTAACATTCATTCGCTGCAGCTGACTCTCACACAGATCAGTGTCTGTGCTCCTCGGTGGTCTTGCAGACGTTTAATTAGAAAAAAAAAATCCAAAGCTGACAACTATAAAAAGGTCATCTGACTCTAGAAGTGATCACATCAATCTGCGAGCGTGGAAAGAAAAACTGAAGTCTATGAAACGCCACCTGGTGGTTGGTTCTTGTACTACAACCAGAGCTGCACATTCTTTCAGGAGCTGTGTGCAGATTCTGATATTTAACCGTGGACACCCGCGTCTTATTTATGTACAAAACTGTTGCATTTTAAATTTAGTATGCGCAGCTTAAAGTCAGTGCGTTCTATAGACCAGCAATTACTGCAAATATACACTGGGTGGATGATTTATTTCAATCGTCTCACTTTTCTTTTGCTAGAAGTAAAAACACCAGTGATAAAATGTTTACGGTTTAAATTTTGGGGTGTGTTTGTGAGCTGAAGGCCCAAATCTGTCTGGAGAAGTCGGGAAGCATTTGATGTGACTGCTGACAAGACGACAAGCCAGAGGACAAACAAAAAGCCGTCAGCCACATCACACCGATTCCACTAATTTAATTACAACCAATTGATGCGTTTCTTTCTTGCTTTGTAAATACTTTGAAGTCGTTTTCTTTTTACTTGTTTTTTTCTTTAAGTCAAACGTGCAGCAATCCCATCTTCTCTATATGAGATGTAAACACACAATTATAGTTCTTTATTTCTCCTGTGGGATTCCAGGCAGCTTCTGTGGTCGGTCTGATGGACTGAAGACAGCCCCGTCTCCGTAACTCAACTTTTCCTGGCAGATCCTTTAGCGATAAAAAGAGGACGACTTGTTTCAAGAGATGGAAATTTAATTCTTGGTTTCTCGTATAATTAAAGCAACACGGAGCCTAAAGAAGATCCTTCACGTTTTATTGCAACTAGAAATCCCCTATTTTCTATTTTAATATACTTCTATTCACTTTTATTGACATTTCTGCTACTTATTTCAACGTTTAAAGATTCAAAACAGTGCAAAAATTCCCAGTTCAAATATTTTTCCCAGTTTATTGGATCTCCTCTGATCCCTTCTCCCATGAAATTTGTTGTAACTCAGTTTCTACTGCATTTTACCTTCATCTTACTTTCCTCGTTCCCTCTCTCACAACATTCCTTTCATACCAACTAAAGTTCCTCCTGTTTTCCATTTTTGAAACTCTATGTACCCTTAACTTGTGACATTTAAACCACCACAAAGGGAGTTTCCTCTCGTGCACTAATAACAGGCTGGGCGGGGCTGAGAATCAAAGCAGCTCACCCACATCTGAGGTTCCTCTGGGGTCAGTCCAAGGTTCTGTTTGTTTAGTTGTGAAGAATCAAAGCTACAAACCACTACTATCTTTGTTAGCAGCAACAAAAAGCTTTTGATTGTAGTCACAACACATCTTGTTTTAAGAGCCATGGTTCAGACAGGAAGTGCATCTTCAAAAACTAATATTTTTAGTGGGAGTTATTTTGGTTATTTTTAGTCTGGAAACTCATCAAACGTAGTCTGACAACTTGATCTCAGCGAGTTAAAATTAAGTTTTAGCATTTTTGCAATATCTGAATAATTAATAAAGTAAAGCCAGTTTGGTTTACCGGCAACTGTGGGCTTCCAGAGGTTTAGCAGAGTTACCAATTCTTCATCTATCTGAACATGCCACAGAGAGATTTTGGTTAAAAACATTAAATTATATAACACAAATAACTAGCACAGCTGGGTGTCATCCGCATAACCTTTGACTAACATAGGAAAGCTGCATATTTATTTATTAACCTTTATTTAACCAGGCAAATCCTATTGAGATCACAGATCGCTTTTGCAAGGGAGGCCTGGGCCTGAAGGCAGCCTAACATGCATGTTTTTGGTCTGTGGGAGAAAACCGGAGTACCCGGAGAAAACCTACGCAAGCACGAGAAGAACATGCAAACTCCACACAGAAAGATCCCAGGTCCAACTGGGGATTGAACCCAGGACCTTCTTGCTGTGAGGTAACAGTGCTAAGCACTGAGCCATTGTGCTGCCAAATATATACAGTAAAGAGAAAGGTCTCCAGCACACAACCTTGTGGAACCCCTATAATAACAGGTGCTAGGAGTTCCTCACTCTTTTTAACCAATGAACAGAATGATCTCTTCAAAGCTAGGCTGGTTTGAATCAAAGAGTCAACCCATGGAAGGAAATCTGAGAAACTAATTGAAATATGTTTCAATAATCCTAGATAAGATTGGACAGAAAATAAGTGGAAGTTCTCAACATGGCCAATGGTAAAAGGCTTTTGGAGAAAAACTAAAACATGTTTGAATAAAGCTGGACAATAGACCAACAAAGCATTTATCACATTTGAATGCAGGGAGAAGGGAAAGCATAATGGCCAAAAGATGAGGGATTTAGCATCCATCCATTTTCTTCAGCTTATCCAGGATCGGGTCGCGGGGGTAGCAGCCTAAGTAGGGAGGCCCAGACTTCCCTCTCTCCAGCCACTTGGACCAGCTCCTCTGGGGGAATCCCAAGGCGTTCCCAGGCCAGCAGAGAAACATAGTCCCTCCAGCGTGTCCTGGGTCTTCCTCTGGGCCTCCTCCCGATGAGACATGTCCGGAACACCTCACCAGGGAGGCGTCCAGGAGGCATCCTAACCAGATGCCTGAGCCACCTCAACTGGCTCCTTTCGACATGGAGGAGCAGCGGCTCTACTCTGAGTCCCTCCCAGATGATCGAGCTTCTCACCCTATCTCTAAGGGAGAGCCCAGACACCCTGCGGAGAAAACTCACTTCGGCCGCTTGTATTCGTGATCTCGTTCTTTCGGTCACAACCCAAAGCTCATGACCATCGATGAGGGTAGGAACATAGATCGACTGGTAAATCGAGAGCTACGCTTTTTGACCCAGCTCTCTCTTCACCATGATGGACCGGTACAGCGCTCACTTTACTCTAGGCACCACACCTATCTGCCTATCGGTCTCTTGTTCCTATTTTAATTTTTTTTTTTTTTTAGATTTTTTTGACTTAGCATTCAAATCATTTAAAATAATCCGTCATCGAGGTTTATCGGAATAACTAAAAAAAAAAACGTGACGTTTCCTCATCCACATCAGCCATACATTGATGCTGATGTATCTATAATAAATTCTATCAGCTAAATTTAATGTATCTAGCTGTGTAGATAACAAATATCATATGTAATTTAATTATACATGGTACAATAACAATAAAAGTTCTTCATTCTTCTAATTCAAGATAGCTCTAATGTTTTCCAGTAGGATCTGCTGCCCTGATAAGTGTTTTCATGCTTGTGTCACAGTGACTCACAATGTTGTGCAATGTTTTATTGAACAACTCATTAAAACCATTCTTTAAAGAATCTTTTTTTACTGTGGGTCTGGTCTTTGTTGTGTGCAGGCTGCTGGTTTTGTGACTCACAAACATGAAACGAGCATGTGAACAACGTTCAGCTGAATTAAAGTGGGCCGACAGTCGTTTATAAAACTCAAAGTTCGACAGAAGTTGATGATTGTTTGGGCATTTAGTGTTTGAGTCATACTTTCTCTGTTGATTTATTTAGTCTTTTCACCTCCCCCTGGGGCAATATTGTCAAAATGAGTTAAAACCTTATTCATAGATCTATTGTAGCATAATGAAACCATCTTAACCATAAAAAAACCGAAGCGCTAAAGAGACAATGACAATGAAATTGACAAAGAAAAAGCATGAGAGTGCACGATGTGTCGGTGTGAATCTACTTACCAAATACATCCGCTGAGCAAAGACGAGCGACGGGTCATCGCGTGACGAAATCCAGCATTTTATAGGAAAAACAAAACAAAAGATACATTTTTATATTCTCAGATTCTTACATCTGTGTCGCACTCACAAAATGCTGAAAAGTAGCATTTACAGTAGCAAAGGTAAGTGTTACATAAGTATTGTAACTGTTACTAGTATGTAGTTGTTTAAGTTGAAACACAAAAATCATGTTTTTTTACCTCATCTGAAAATTTTTTAATTTATTTATTCATGCTGCTGCATATGGAGCAATGGAGGTATGGACGGGAATATTATATGAGGCTGCAGCATCAACTCTTAACTGTTACCAGCTCAGATTTAGTAACATTAGCACCAGAAATGATTATTAAGGACATATTTTTTAATGAGCGTATGTCCATGTGTTTTTCTAAGTGTCCAAATAGAGACAAACTGTCCACACAATTGGACGCCAACACCATAAAGCTGTAACTCCTGAATGCTTCAATGAACAGTGAAGCTCTAATGAAAGGTAAGAACTACATAAAAAAAACATATTCTACAACTAGATTTACAGTCAGCATGATTAAAATACATGAAATTATGAATAAACTATACAGAGGCGCACAGCATGACACCATAATTAAAATAATTCCAGAATTAGTTTCCTACTTCCATTTTAGATTTTGCCCACGAGCATTGTACATGACAGGAATCTGAATGGTTACACGTCTGTAGCGTCGGAGCTGATTGGTTAATTCTGTACGTAAAGCAGTGTGGGTGTCCCCGGTCTGAACACAAGACGCTTTGTTGATACTAATGGCTCTGGAGAGACCAGAGTGACCCAGTTGGTCAAACGAGGTGTCAATCAAAAGAGGAGAGGCTATACCTCCATTTTGACACCCTGGTACCGTATTTTCCACCGTAAATGTTGCACCGCCCTATAAGTCGCATCAGTCCAAATATGTCTAATAAAGTGTAAAATCCATAAATGTGTCGCTGCGCCGTATAAGTCGCATCTATTATGCGTCACCGCTGACCACCTGGATATGTGGGCCGGTGTGCCAAAAATCGATTGGCTGCCAAATGGCGGCCGCGGTAGCTTACACGAGAGGATTTTAACAAGATTAACACTTAAAAACAAATATTTGTTTGCTCAAAATTATAGTAAAGGTGTGTCTCGCTCGAACTTTTACTTAAATGCACTTTGACGGTCAAAACAGCTGCATTTTCAAAACCCGATTCGCGGAAGCATGCACGCGCAGAGGGACGAGTCGCTGGTTATTTCTTCTAAATATTTCAAGATTTCCACCTACATACAATTATTTGTTTGCTCGACTTTATAGTAAAGGTGTGTCTCAGTTGAACTCTTACTTAATAAATGCGCTTCACTGGTCAAATTAGCTGCATTTCACCAGGGCGGCGCAGCGAAATGAAGCTGATTTGACGGTTGCTCCAAGCAGCGAGCAGAACGAAGGTGGCAGGCTATGGCAAGCCAACTGTGTCATTAATAGCCACTTTTATTATTACATCACACAACGGCATGGTATACTGCTCAAGTGCCATCTAGTGGATGAAAATGGTAGTGTTCAATATTTTCAGTCAGAGTGAATTCAAACGGTCATATCTCAGACAAAAATTGGTTTATAAATATGTGAAAAAAATCCATAAATATGTCGCGTTGGCGTATAAGTTGTAGGGCATGTAAATTGTACAAAAACTGACTTGTAGGGCGAAAAACACGGCATTTAAATAAGAAGTGCCTGGTAAAGCGTAGCAGCTGTTTAAAGCAGAAAGATGTCACAACGGCCTGCGGGTGGGCCTTTGCAAGTTCAGGGATGACTGTTGAATATTAACATTGGACAAAAAACACAAACCTTTCTTTGCTTTTTTCTGCAGCTTCAGAGTGTCCGATGATCTCTTCTTGATCTCCTGACGAGCCTTCTTATACTCTGCAGAGAAGAACTTCGTCACATTATGATGCATGCAAAACGTTACGTAAGAGCACACTTGCAGATCAAGTATGTTCACACAAAAACTGTGCACGTTCACAGAAAAGCATGCTTTTTGGAGTGCGAGTGTTTGCGTGGAACCTTTGGCGTGGTCTTTGTCCAGAGTGTTGGCCACTCTCTTCCACTCCTCCATCTGCTCCTGTAGAGGGTTAATCAGACAGTCCAGAAACACCCTGAAAACACAAACGCACCGTTACATCCAGCTACCTAAACATGCTACAGCCATGGCTGAGGGTTTGGTGACATACTGGTATTGGTGACATACTGGTAATGGTTAATATCAGCAGAAATGGCTGCCAAGGTGTTCATGGTCAAATGGAACATGACGAACAGACATCTAACGGTCATAAAGTATGGCTTTAGATTTAGCAGTGCGTTATTTATTTATTGCAAATATGCTGAAGTATTGTTTTTAACCCTTTAACTGTTTAAATGTGAAGTAAAATGATCAACCAGGTGGTTTGAGGACTGGATCTGGGAGAAGACTGTTTCACATGACCGATGATTACTGACAAACCTCCAGCTGTGACGGCGCACGACACAAATCTTAATAAACTGGGTTTACATGTACGACGGAGCTTTGGGGCCGCACTAAGAAAAATAAAAATAATAAAAGCCATAAAATTACGAGAATAAAGTCATACAAGATTTTTTTTGTTTTGTTTAAAGCTCTCGTTTTTTTTTTTTTCCACGAGTCAGATCCAGGACGTGACCTGTCAATCAATCCAGTAGGCATGTCAGCAAATGATCAATCCGAAGCTAAATGCGCCTTACCTGCAGAGCTGCTGCAGAGCTGCTGCAGCCCATCACAGCGCACCACCTGACTGTAAGCAGGTTCAAAGTCCTGACACTGATAATAATCTGATGCGCTCACAGATTAACTATCTCCATATTTGTAAAACCAATACCAAAGTATAACTTAAGATGCTCAACCTTCTTCATTTTACCAGTTAAAATGCAGAAAACCCTGATTTATCGTGCCGGAGTTTGGATAATATTACGACTCATTTAGCTTCAGATTGGTAATTTGCCGTCACGCCTACTGGATTGATTGACAGGTCACGTCCTGGATCTGACTCGTGAGAAGAAAAAAAAAACACGAGAGCTGCAAAAAGTCTTGTTTGACTTTATACTCGTAATATTAAGACGTTATTCGACTTTATTCTCATAATACTAGGACATTATTCTCATAATTTTATGGCTTTTATTGTTTTTTTCTTAACGTGGCCCTAAAGCTCCGTCGTATTACGACTATACATGAACCCCGCAGTGCTGTGAAGACGTACTTGCCCCACTGCAGATTTTTTCCTGTTTTAGCTCTTTTTTTTTTTTATTGTCGCACCGACACGTTTCAGATCACGTAAAAATGTAATTCAAAATGTAGATTCAAATGATTATATATTTTTAAAAAATTGTTCTCTAAACCTAACAACTTGAAGCAATCGATCAGTTGTGATAACCGACGAGTTTTTCACATGGCTGAAGAGATTTGGTTTTTCTTTCATAAGACTGACTGTGTGGGCAACACGGTGGCGCAGTTGGTACAGTTGTTGCCTCTCAGTGAGAAGGTCGCCAGATCATATATTTCTGGGTGGAGTTTGCATGTTCTCACCGTGCATGCGTGGCTTTTCTCCAGTTTCTTCCCACAGACCAAGAACATGCATGTTAGGTTGACTGGTAACTCTAAATCAACCATAGGACTCTATGGGATGGATGGATGGATGGATGGATGGATGCAGTGGTGCAGATAGTGGGTATACTGCGATGAAGTTAGTTTTACGTTGGACGCCGTTGAAGCCACGGAGCACGAATGTCCAACGTAAAAGTGTATACTAAAGTACACTCGTTAGTACAATGTAATCGTCAATTTATTTAGTTTTTTTAAACGTATTGAACATTTCCAAATTTCTCTGATGCTTATATTTGAATAAATGACCAACAAACTTTGTACAACAGTTGGCTTTGTATTAAAAACATGTTACAGAATTTATAAAACAGTATCGAAGCAAAACATGTTCAAGTAGTAAGTACATAATTATACAATAATTAGCTGGATATGAGAATGTAATAAACAAGTGCTGCATACAGATAGATTGTAACGGAAGCGTTAAACGGCCATTTAACATATCAATGACACGTGTCTAATGATGTGTCATGTATCTTCTTAAGTTTTTCTAGTGGGTATACTCCGTGTACCCGCGGGCGGGCGGACGGACGGACGGATGAATGGATGGATGGATGGATGGATCGATCGATCGATCTTTCTTTCCACCAAATATTTTCCAGAAAGGTCTGGGTTGGTTTGCATAGCTCCACCTCCCCTTCATAGATGAAATAATTATTCGAAAAGCTTTACATTCCTGCGTGCGATGATGTTATTAACGGAGGATCCTGAATTTATTTGAAGGAAGTCAAATTTCAAGCGTGAACGGAGGATGAGGCAAGCGGTTTATTTTAGTCGGGCTCGTCCAACACTGAGGAGGAAGATGAGACCGAGAAAAGAAACATGCAGGTTGGCACTGAACTGGGAGGAGACGCTACACCTGTTCACCACACACACACACACACACACACACACACACACACACACACACACGGACCTACTCACATGGAGAACTGTCGGAGCTTGGCCTCGATGCTGCGATGCCTCATGCACATTCTGGTGAGAGCTGAGCCGATATCCCTGGTCCCTCCTGACGACAAACACAATCTGTCACATTTAACAAGTCTGCGCTTCATCTGAAGTTTTTTTTACTAGTTCACCACAGTTTTAGCATTCTCACAAAATACATATAGTGTTTTCATTATGTGCTGGGCAATGCATTCTGTAAAAAAAGCAAAACACACAAAAACAATACAAACTGTTAAAACGTTCAGTTTATATTCCCATATGTCAGATTTTGATCCATGTCATAAAAAAGTCATCTTTATGCCAAAGTGTGTGTGACTTAAAGAATAATAGAGAATTAGATTTGAGATGCAGCTTCTGAGTTTCTGTGTTGCGGTCAAGAAAATCAGCTGGACTCAACAAACACGCGTGAACCCCTTCGAGACGTCGCATGTTCACAACTTCATGAAAAACCGAAGCTGCGTTGTTTCAGAATAATTCATTGAGAAAAGAACAACAGGTTGCCTGAAACGGCTCACACTTTTACAAAACCAGTAAAAAAATAAAAAAAAGTTGTGTTGCAGCTAGTGAAGCGTCCTCCAGCATCAAATCACGTCTGTTTATCTCAAATACACAATGAAACTGCAGAGCTGCACCCTGGAAAACTCAGCTTCTGTTGTATTTCTACACAGTTCTGTGGATTTAACCTCCTCGTGTTTCCTCACTGACTCCACGATCCGGGAAGCAGAACCAGTTTGGTCCAGACCATCTGTTCCAAGAAGCAGATTCCACCACAATCTTTGGGTTTAGCTAAGGTTCTCCGTTCGGCTGAATAATCTCAACAACCCCCTCTCTGTTAGCGCTCTCTGATCGGTAGGCGGCACTTCGGGCACATTTTGTTTCATTATTGCGTGAACGTTTATGAAGCATTCACTCTATTGTGGTCCATTTTACTTTCGTAGGTTTTTCAGCGCGATTCTCGTCCCGCAGTTTTCAAGCCATTTCAACAAATCATAAACGTTCAGCTCGTTCAGGACAATCCTGCTATGACTTTTGGTACTGGTGCAACTTTAGCTTTTTGAAATATTTAGCCTTTTCTGTCATTTTTTTCCCCTCATGGGAAATTAATCGAGCTCATTTTACACCCTTCAAATCTTTACATATGTTTACAACCTTTTAAATGGTAAATATGGACTGTGTTCATGTAGCACCTTTCTGTCTGATCAAGATGCTCAAAGAGCTTTACAACAATCTGAGCCTCATTCATCCATTCATACAGCGATCTATAGATCTCTGCAAAGCTCATTGAACAAATCATTCTAAAGACACGAATCAGAGCTTTAGCTCACATTCATACACTGATGGGACACACATTGGAGGCAAAGACGGGTTCACCGTCTTGCCCATGGACACTTCGGCATGTGACTGCTGGTGGATTTGAACCCCCAACTCTTGCATTGGAGGACGGCTGCTCTAACCACTCAGCCCTGCGTCGCCTCTTTTACTGCTCCTTTCACGTTTTGTTCTGCTTCAGCTCCTTTGTGCAACTTTTTTCAGCTACTTTCAGCTAATTCCAGCTGTTTTTTCATCTGTTTTGTGCTTCTTTCAGATTATTTCTGCTAACTACATGTTTATACTTCTTCTAACTGCTTTCTGCTAATTTCAGCTTGTTATGCTCCTTACAGCATATTTATACAAGTTTCAGCTTTTTCTATTTCAGCTACTATTTAGCTGATTTTATGCTAATTTAACCTTTTTCAACTAACACCATATTTTTTACACTCATTAAAAAAAATCTGCCTAATTCAGCAAAAAATGTGCTCTCTCTCTCTCCACTTCTTGTAATTTCAGCTTCTGTCAGTATTTTAGCTACTTTTCAGCTGGCTTTTTTGTGTGTGTGCTAATTTCAGATTTTTCAAGATAATTTCTACTTTTTGTGCTCCTTTCTGCTTATTTAAACCTAATTCAGCAAATGTGTGTTATTTTTGTTTTCTTCGGATAACTTAAAGCTTGTTCTTCCAGTTCAGCTACATTTCAGCATGTTTTTAGCTCCTTATTCAGCAAGTTCTTCTGCAATAAGCTTTCACATTGCATTTTTCACAGGAAATGCATCTCTATCGTTTCTGCACCGTCCCAGCTTCAGATTGCTGGTCTGATGGATCGGGATGGTGGATCTCTGCATCACTTCCTGCGACACCATCATGGAGGTATCAACAGATATCAAAGTGTCAAAATATCTTTAAATCTGATCAGATCACAGTCGGAGCATGAAAGGCGCTATGATACTGGACGGATGCTTTTCAGTGTACAAGTTTAGCTCAAGGACACTCCAGCAGGGTGCCAGTGGACCGTTTCACGACTCGTTTTCAGAGCAGCAGGAGCTCCACAGGCACCTGAAGGGCCCAGATGGCAGCCTCATCTCTCCCCCACACAGGGCACTCCCTCCTGGGGGGAGGGTCTCTCAACAGTAAACCTGCAACTTGCAGTCCAACGCATGCGAGGACTGTAAATAATCACATTAATTCACACACCTTGACTTGAGCTAAGTGTCTTATTGGTCCAATCAACATCAGAGTTATTTTTCTGGTTTATAGAATTGTTGAAATAAAGTACAAAATGTGGGCGTTTCCAGCGATGAGCACTGCAATGCACCACTGACTCCTCTTTTCTTTCCTCTCCATCCTTCCTCACATCTTCCCTCCATCCTATCCGTCTCCTCCCTCTGACAGAAATCTATCACACCCACTCCGTCTCCCCGGTTCTCTTCAGCGACTGGGAGTCATTTAGCCTCAGAGCACAAAAAAAAGTAATTTAAGAGAATTATTACGATTTATAATTTGGTCAGTTTAGATTGTTGCTGAACAACAGTGCAGTTTCATCTTTTAGTTTCTGTTCTTGTGTTAAGAAAAAAAAAGTATAAATGATAATATTTTAATTTACACGAGACAAGATAAAAACCATACAAGCTCTAGGTGAGTTTATCCTTCTCCTAATAATTTACTAAGACAAGAAAAGATCTACCGATGATCTCAAGCATCTTCAATATAAAAGTCCAGGTTTGGTTTTAATTCATCTTATATAATTCACTTACAGCATCAATTATTGCTGGAACATAAAACAGACTGACCAAAGATTAAATTTCTAAATGTATCTATATTTCTGTGCCATCACATAAACATGCAGCAGATTAATGGTCTGACCTTTGAGGGTCAAGGATGGGAGATGATTTTATGCAAATAAAGATGAGGACTGGGAATGGTTTTCAACATAAATGTTAGTTTTTAAAAATATATATATTATTAAAAAACAGCTTAATTTGTGGCAAACTGATCCTAGTTTTGAAAAGAAATGAACATTAATTAGTTTTAAATATTGATATATTCAGGAGAAATTCACAAACTCAAAGATTTTACCTCCAAAATATGTTTTTTTTATTTCATATTTTTAGTTTCTTTGGAGGGAATAAATAGTCTTAAAAGACAATTGTTGTTTATCTTCACTATTTTTTTTGTTGTTCCAATCACAGATTTATATAATGTACTTGAATAAATATTCAAACGAATATAGTTGGACTTAAAATATGCATTTATTAGGAATGCACGATATCGGCCGATATTAACAATAAAGTTAAACATCCGACTATGGCCATTCCATCAAAATAACTCGGATATAAAAGGTACTATATATATATATATATATATATATATATATATATATATATATATATATATGGCGTTGTTTTTGTATATATCAAGTGTTAGAGTGTTAGCTAATGTTCCTCAGTCCCATCGTTCATTGATCCAGTTTAAACTTTTGATGTACAAGGTTTCTGTGCAGTTTAGCATCACACAAGCTGCTTCTACAGAAAATCCAAAAGAGCAAATATCCACTACTACTTAAATAAAATCTTTGACAGGTGCTGTCGTTGAGGAGAGTTCGCAGACCCCAGGGTGTGCGCCGGTACGCTCCATCAGTAATTCATGCGTGTTTGTAGCCGCTCGTCTTCCAGCATGTCCTCCTCCACACTTCCTCCACCCCTCCGTAGCCTCGTCTCTCTCCTCACACATCATCTGCCTCTCTCCTCCCATCATTTCCCACATCACAGACTCTACTCTGTCCTCGTTTTTCCAGTCATTCAGCACCTCATCCTTCCCCTGCCGGCCCTTTTCTCACCTCCAGACTGAGCGTTACCTCCTCTCGCTCCGTCTCCTTCTCTCAGGCTAAGGTGGAAGTGGACAGATGGACAGATGGACAGAGTGACGGTTGTGAGAACGCCGACTGAGCACACTATTTTTTCCCTGTTTTGTTTTTTTTAGACCAGTCAAACTACTTCTGTATACTTTGTGTTGTTTAAACCATTCCCGTTTCAAAATGTTCAGCTCATTTAGGACATAGATGCTGTGATTTTTTTTCTAACTTTTATATATTTCAAAATACCGGTATTTAAATTTACAATTATTTCCCCCATTGAAATACATAGAGATCTCTTTGTTTCCTTAAAAACTGTTCTCTTTTAATTCTGCTTCAGCTTATTCTATTTGAAGCTTTTATTTATACTTTTTTTATTAGCAACTTTTATCATTAAACTACTGCTTATAACCTTTAGCTACCATGCAGCCACATAGTCTTTTTCCAACCATAATGATACTTTTAGTTTTTAGCTAGTTTTCTGTTGCTTTTACAGTCTTTTGCTACTTTTAGGTTTCAGCTAAAATTATTTTAGTTGACCTTAGCTTTGAGCTAAAATTTTGCTTCTAACTAGCATATTGCTACTTTTATTTTCTAGCTACACTGTTACTTTTAGCACTTAGCTAGTGTTTTACTACTTTTAGCTGTCAGCTAGAATTTTTTTTAGCTTGCAATTAGCCTTTTATTTCTTTTAGCTTTGAACTACTCTTGCTTTAAGATAGCATATTGAGATTTTTACTATCGCGCTACACCATTGCTACTCTGAGCATCTAGCTAGTGTTTTACTCCTTTTAGCTGTCAGCTAAAATCATTTTAGCTTGCATTTGCCTTTTATTACTTTTAGCTTTTTGCTTTTAGATAGCGTATTGCTACTTTTACTTTCCTGCTACACCGTTG